TGATATCCGCCTTCAAAGAGTAAAGATTAATATGATACTGATTGGAAAAACGTAAAAGATATCAGCCCTAATACGAGGTTTTATTTTTTAAAAAATTAATATTAATTAATTCATCCATGTTCAACATAGCAAATTAAGTGCAAATACTACAAGATTAAGAACAGCGCGCCAATAGAACAACAATCTTTGTAAACCTTACCATCACGGACCGCCACCCGTCCGACGGCCGCATAACAGCAACCGGGCCTTGAATATCGGTGGCCGTCAAATGAAGATCAACCCTCCTCCTTTCCATCGCTCCTAAACCTGCAATTAGGAATCTTAATTAATAAAGTGAAAGCAAAATTAACTTTGGCGGTACGATACATCTCGAAATATACTTGCTAGTTTATGGGCTTGTGAATGGGTCTTCCAGATTAAACTTGCATTGAGTGCAATACTTTTTTTAAAAAAGGGTGAGAATGGTATTTGAGTGAAATAAATCAAGAAGGTGTTATTTGTGATTAAATTTAACTAGTAATAATTAAAAAGATAGATTAAATGGGTCCAGAAAGTGAAAGTTATGGGAGAAGCATAATCAACGAAAAATACAAGTATTCCTTCAAATGCAATAAAAAAAAATATTCAAGCATAAGTTCAAGTCAAAAATTAATAATCAAAATCAGTCTCCCCTCCAAAAACAACCCTAGGCTTGTATATATATACCCAATGTTGTGTTGTTCCCTACTTTAACATTAATTAATGTTTTTAAATAGTTTAATAATTAACCCTTATATAAAGACAATAATTAATGCTACTTGTAAATCCTACTACATGACAAGTTAAAATCAAGAAAATTCATAAACAAAGCTAAAATAATGCCATAAGAACGCATCATATAACTTGTGGATACAAATGAAATTACTTATTGCAATATTATTATCATTATTGTGTTCCTCGTATAATTAAATGAATTAAAAATTTGGAGACATAAAATAACATAAGCAGGAAAAAAAATACGCTGAAATGGATATTAATCCATGTTTTAAGTAAAGCCTAACAATGTCAATGTCCAGGCTAACTATGTCAATGCCTTTATTAAATAAATAGTGAAAGATATGTCGTACTTTAAACAAGTATAAAATACGGAGTAAGAATGTCAATATTCTAAAATTTCACCCCAACCCTTCGAAACCTAATTGAATTCCTTACATTCAATTCTAAGAATTAAAAATAAAAAGTTTCCAAAAGAAAAGTAATTATTCATACATTAGTCTTGCCTGTTGGGGCAAGTGCAGAGTCGAGGGTCGATCAGGACTCGTGACGGTCGAGTAGGTCAAGGCGGGCACGAGCGGATACGACGACAAGATTTATCTGTTTTGGGTCTTCTTGGGAGTTTATTTGTTTTAAAACATGTGGCGGCACAATATCTATAAGGGCCAACAAAAACACACAAATATTAAAGCGCGCGATAGGCAATAATGAATAGGAAGCTTGGATTTCATTAATTACTGCTCCCTTAAGAGCATATTTTTGGAATTACATTGTTTTTCAAGTAAACAATGGATTGACAGTAACATAATAATTTCTTCTACGCCCTAGAAAACTTAATAAAAGACCTAGAAAGCAAGAATTATATTCAAAGAGAGTTGGATTTTAACACAATGGTACCGAGTGATTGTGATTTTTAATGTCGTCTTTTTTTTTTATTGTGACTGAATTTCAAACAAAGAAAATAGTAGAACTGAATTTATGTGTGACGTATATATGAATATCAATACTAATACGGAGTATAAAACAATATCAAAACTCCTAATATATTGACTAATCATAATTTAAGTTGATAATTTATGAAAAATGACTTCTTTCTTTCATTTATTAGCTATTTAAATCATTTGGAGATGATTTTGATTATATAAAATTAATTGATTGATAGAAAATTTATATTTGTATATTAATTGATTGATTGTACTGATTGACATAAATTAAAATGTGTATTTAATTATTTTTGGACGTAATTCAAGTAATTGATTGTTATTTTATTTTACTTTTTAATTATTTGCTGATTGATTGATTTTGCCAGCGTTTTTGAAGATGTACCGAGAATGTCCATTGAAGCCAAGGTGTTCTTTCAAATTATACTGGTGCTGCAATGAGGGTTGTCAAGATTATCTCCGAGATGTGCAACAAACTTCCACATCTCAGGGGCATTTTGGAAAATATAAGGGGGTATTTTGGGGTCTATGGTAAAAAAATTGAGGGATTTATTTAAGAGTTTCTCCCCTTTAAAACTATCAGCACCACCAATTTGAGGCCCGATTCTGCACAGAAACAGTAGAACTTATAGAAGTATTAAACTAGTGTTATATCCTAATAATCCGTACATTGTTATTGTGCTCCAAGAGCAGGTGAAAATCAGGTAACTGGTCATAAATCAAGGGAATGATGATTAATTTTGTAAGGAAATTTCATGTTCATTATCATAGAAATGTAATTTTATCTCCAAACATGTGATTCTCTTAAACAATTTCCATTACCATTCAAAACCACTTTGAAAGTGTTAATGTATATCTTTGATGATTTACACCACCTTTAATGTATATACACTAAGAGCGCCGCGGCTCGCTGGTACGTTAAATGTCTACACATTGGTTGTCGGTGAGCCCTTATCTGTGTGCAATCAAATTTGAAGCTGCAACTAGCTAGTTTAGGTTCATTAGCCTACGAAATTTCTTGAGGTATTTTAGGGGTGGTTCGTTTGGTAATTCAAATTGTGCTCTAAAACCCATCCAATTACAAGTCAAGATAAGTTAATTCCTTGAGGTTTTTACCCCCTTAAAGTTGTATTTAGGCTTTCAGTTGTATTTCGTTTGGTAATTCCTTGTGATCTAGTTAGGCTTTAATGCACATTTAGGTTGCATGAGTCCTTTCTAGTTGTTAGTTTTATATATTGGAGTCCTTTTCTAGTGGGTTTCGTCTTTCTCTGTAAGTGTATCGGCTTTTAAGTTGCAAGTAGGGGATCTTGATGGAGCTTCTGTAAAGGATGTAGTTGGATTGACGGAGATAGGTAATTGTTACTTTAAGAAAGGGGAGTTTAAATCTGATTTATGAAACGGTTTTAGATGCTATTGTCTCCAAACTCGGATGCAATGGAAGAGAATATCTTCAAATTAACTTGTTACTTGTTTTTTGAATAAATCAGCTTGTGAATTAAAACCTCAAAAGTATAAGACAGTCATGTCGTTGTGTTCCGTCATCTTGACTAAGGACCAAAACAGAGGAGGCCAAGCATATGAAAAAACATTAGTATTAGCACCTCTTGATAAAGCTATCAAATTGGGAATTTCAAGCCTTGATGAGCAAGTGGTCTCCAACGAATGAATCTGCCAAACCAGTCAGCTCCTTGTCTAACAAGAATCAACCAAATGATCCCTTTCATTTATTGACAAAGGTTTCCCTCTCGAAACCTCTGAAGATGATGGGTGTGTGATAATTTTATACCTATATCGCAAAGGGGAAGGATGACAATTTTAATTTCTTAGAGAGGAATGGCATCGCAGAAACATTTCTAATGCTAATGAAATTAAGTATGTTAGACAAAATATATATATGGAAGTTGTTTCTAGCAGATTTTCTTTAAGCTACAAATCTCACACCGAAAAAGCAAGTTCGCATTCACCATCAAGAAGAACAAATTAAAAACTCTTCGTTGCATATTTCTCCCTCTACTTATGCTGAACTAACTGCTCCAAAGGGAAATAAATTAAGGTTTATAAACCAAAGGAATATACTTGGATGTCAGTGTGTATTGTTCGAAGACGGGAGCTAAAGAACAAGTGAATCAACCAATTACAAACAGTTCTCGGGCTCCTGAAATCCCCGCATCAATGATCATCACTAAGGACATTACTATTAGTGAGTAAGGAACGAAAGACGAATATGGACCTCGAAGCTAGTGACATTATGTTTTACAAACTTGCTTAGTGCAAAATTTGTCATCGTATTCTCGACAATGTGCGGAATCCTCGCAAACCTAAGGTCGGTCCCGACTCATGATACTCCATCTATGTTTACAAATATGACGAGTTACCATAAATGGGTCTCCTATTTCAAGCAAACGAAAGTTGTCAACACTTCTTTTTGAAAGCAATGTAAGAGCTAAAATTAAAAAGCTCAGTTGTTATTTAGTTTCTCTTTATTTGTCTTAGTTTCTCATTCAGCTGTTGTAAAATAAATAAATAATGTTTACCAAAATATTTATGGTATGTTATAAATAGATTAATTAGTAATCATAGAACAATAAACCATACTTTTCCTCTTAAAAAAAAAATATGTGTTGCTCAAAGCGATGCACTTAAAAAAACGGAGGGAGTAAAATATTGTGTAAATGAGGTTTGTTGAGAATTAAAAATTACGAGTGTTGAATAGAGATAGTGGGATTAATAATTTATTAATTAAAATAAGGAAAGTGAAAGGAAATAAATAACAAAAAAAGGAGTGGAGACCATGGGAGGAAAAAAATGTAATTAAAAAAAAGTTGTCCAAAAAAGGAAAGTGATGCACTTAAAAAATGGCCGATTTAAGAAAGTAATGCACTTAAACGGAGGGGGTAACAAATAACTCAACTACCTAAACCTCTGTTTCATGCACTATACAACCGGTTGTACATAGCAAGGTACGGTGGCAACTTTGTAACTATGTGTACCGATTTTCTAAATATTTGCTCATTTTGAGTCAAATGAGGAAATTTTGGGTACATCCAAAAACTTTCATTTTCTCTCTACTTGAATTTCTCTTTCCTTCATTTTCATTGTAAAAACGAAGACTTAGATCTGGTCAAATTAATCAATTAATTAAAGAACTAATTACCACATTATATTACTATAACGCATCATCCGAAGTTGAGGCCTTACATCCAATGGTCTGAATATTGATGTTGAATTTTGTGGGAATTGATGTTGAATGAAAGTGATAAATTGAAAAAACAATATTGTTTCCATGTATGGAGGACAGATAAATATTTTTTGCTCATTTCTTAAAAACAAAAAATTTATTGTACAAAATTTTGCATTCCACTAAAACTCTACGCGATAAACATAAAGCACTTGTTTGGAAGTAGCAACTACTCCAATAACTCCATTCATAAAAAAATGACTTCTGAAAGTGCCAATGGAAAAATTCCCAAGGAGGCAAAGAAGCCATCTTCCCTTACAGACGCACAAGTTCTAAGGAAGTGTTTGGAAGACAACAAAGGTGATAAAATCAAATGTAAATCAAAGATTGAAGCTTTCAAATCTGCTGCTTCATCTCCTCCTTCTCTTAAACCTCTCCCTAATTCCAGGCTTCTCACCAGGGCTTCTCTTACTGATGTTTAATTCTCTATTTTAGGGTTTTATTCCATCTTTTATTTTGTGCAATTCTTTGTTGGATTTAGGGTTTAAATTTAGGGTGACCCATGAAATTATGTGGGTTTTGGGTATTATGTGAAAAAATTAAGAAATTGGGGCAGAATTTGAAGAATCTTACATTCTGGAGGAATTTTGTGGTATTTTTATCTTGTTATTTCGATATATTATTGTATCAATCAAATGGTTTCAAAATCTGGGTGATCTTTGTTGTTTGCAAAATGGTGGAATTTGGTTATCAGTGACAAAATTTTGATGCATCTTGGCTAATTATTTGTCAAGTAAATTTGATGCTTCAAATCACACAATCTGTAAATATCATATTACTTGAGCATTCGTGTCCAAAATTTTGATCGATTTACCATTTGAATGGAACTAGATTATCTTGATCGGTTTGTACTAGAACAAAGTTGAATGTTGTACATGTTGGACTTGGGTTTGAAAATTGAACTTGGACTGTTTTCGCAGTGGAGTTGAACAGAATAGGACTCTGCACATTTTTTCAAATGATCATTTGTGCATTTGGACTTTGATTATAGCATATATAAGTTGCATAGTTTATCTTATGTACAGCTATTAGGAAATGGAATGCAACTTGAGAATCATAAACTATATCTGAGAACATAAAATTCAGCTATAGCAGTTCTCGCTGCACCGTTGAACGTTGTTGTATATATTGACTTAATTTGCAAAGACCTAATGTGCTAATTTTGGTGTTCATCACAAATGTACATATGCAAATTGTGTTCATCTCTTGGCCTTGTCGGGTTTCCTGTGATGAGAATTTTACGTGCTGTGAAGATGCAAAATAGGCAGAGATTTCTGGTACTTGGATAAGTCTTTTTGTTCTCTATTGTTCTTGGTTTTTCATCAACTTGTCTGCAGAGAGTACATCATCAATCCAAGCAGCAAGATTGAACGCGAAACCTTCCAGCACTCTTGAATAGCTTTCTAAGATTGCTTGGCCGACGTCCTACAAAGAATTCATTCACCATATTTTAGGAGTTTGCTCCATCTATTATGAAGTTCAGTTCTGATTGTGAGAGGAGTTGAATTACTTACCCTATTGTATTGGATTTTGCATGTGTCTAATGTTGTCTGTGATAGTTCAGGGAACCTATGCTTTAAGAAAAACAGCAGAGATTCAGCTCTTTCTGCAAGAACATGATTCTTGTCATTCCTATCCGGTTCTGACTTGAAATCCTTCATCACATGCCATGATCTCGAATGTGTCATTCCAGACTTGCGTTTCCATGTGTACATGGAAGCTTCCACTCTGTCAGCAAGGTCAAGTGCTTCGTGTTCCGAGGTTATCTTTAATGTATCAAGGAGGTGATCAGGGGCGAAAAATTCTGCATTGTGTATGTACTTGTATATAGCATCTCCTAGGCAAGATTTTCCACTCTGAAAAAAATCAAACAACAAAAGGTACCATCAGAGATAACAGTAAAAAATGTCAGAGTTTCATGCTTTAGTGTTCATCCATGTTATAGAACATGCATTTAACAGTAAAATAGGAAATACCTTTGGAAGCCCTAAAATGTAAGATTCTGGTACTTCCATTTCATTAAGAGTATTATTGTTGATGGCCATGGCAGCTTTGTGAATCTGATTGGCACAATCACGCTGGTGCTTTAAATGTTTCCTCCCTGTTTCAGAGAGGCCACCCGGTGGGATACAGGGGATTGGCAGCCACCATTTTTCATCTTTTCGTGCAACAACCTTCCTGAATGAGGTTGCTCTCGATGAATTCATAGACGCGTTACCCTGTTCAGCATACCAAAACTCTTTTTCTTCGAAACTGTCCAAAATGTCCTGTGACACAGCACATACGGAGTACTGAGTTTTTTTCTTTTTGTAAATATTATGGCATTCCAGATTCAGTAGCTGCAATATGAATGGCGATAGAGGCATATTTATCTTACCATGAGCATTCCATCAAGTTTCCTTAGTGCAGGCAAGTTCATTTGAATATCTGTCCTTGGCCTTGTACACATAACCTGCAAAAATTTTAAACATATCTTTCTTCATTACAACATTCAATCAAAACTTGGTTTTCTACTCATATTAGATGTTATGCAATGTAGAAATTTACTTGCCTCAATATCATGTCCGTCTTCAGGAACAAACTCTACAATGTATTCACACACTGAGAGTAGACAATCCATTTCTTTTTTCCACATCATCTTCTTCTCCGGCTTCATAGGTTCCAACTTCAAAGCATTGCCAAATATAGTAGCTGCATTCGTTCATATATCACACAGTTTAGCATTACAAAGGCAGGATAATCAATAAAATTCGGTGGAAATAATATGTTACTCATATGTGCAACATACTCAATACTAACTTCAAACTTAGATAAACACTTTTACCAAAGTATCCACAACTTTGTTATACGAAGTACAAAGTATGTGGCACATATTGTCAAGACTTTATGCTGTAGGATTTGAGGTTAATACCATAAAGATTAGTGATGGCATTAGAGATTGTGACTGCAGTACATACACCTTTCCCGCTTCCTGACATGTCTTCACCCAGTAGAAGCTTTGAAAATCTTTCTTTCATTATCTCAAGCTCTTAAAATTTGCACAAGAAAGTAAAATCCCGTATCAGCTTTATCCCCAAAGTTAAGATTATTCAGAAGTAAGGCCAGTTTACAAAACAAAGTTGAATTATTCTAAGAAAACTGTAAAATTATGCTGTGATCATAAGACCTGAGAAACATACCTATATCTACTGCCTCCAACTCATCAAGCCCTGAATCAATGCTATACATGTACTTCTTCATTCCAAGCCTAGAAGGTGAAGCCATAGGAGGGGTAGCGGCCCTGGGCGGGTGCCACCTGAAAGGGGAAGCACCCTCGGAGCAGCTATCATTTGGTTCAGAGAAGGTTGACATCTCTGAATTTGTCCTGCAGTAATTAAAAGAGACAGTACTCATCGGAGAATTCGTTGAATGATCGTTGGGATCGAAAGATGATGGTGAAGCCTCATAACCCAGATCATAACTCTCATCTGTTAAAGAATTCTCCATGATTTCTTCTGTTATACTTCCTTGGAAGCAAAAGTTACCTAACCTTAATCTGCAGTCCCCCATAGACAATTTTTGTGTAAACATAAAACCCAAAAAATCGAAACAAAAAGCTGCAAAAACTCAAATGAAATTCAAATTTTACTACTGCAACTAAAATTCTTTTGTAAACAAACACAAAAGCATAGGAAAAAGTCTAATCTTGTGTCCTTGTCATTAACAGCAGAATTCAAGTGAAAGTTGTGAGGAAAAAAAAGGTAAAAGTTGCAAAAAAAAGAGTAATACAATTCTTTAATAAGGGTAATTTAGAAAGAAAATAGAAAAGTAAACAAGATTAAGAAACAAATTGTTACCTTTAATTGCCAAAAAATTTGAATTTGAAGAGTAAAATGTGGGTTTTTGAAATAGTTCCCTCCCAATTAGTAGTTTAGCACATTACTTTTTTTTTTCCCCTTCTGTTCTGAAGACCTTTGCTTTCCTGGAAAAAGAGATATAAGCATGCTAGTTAGCTCATTTCCTCTTACACATTCACCATATTTTTGACCACATAAAGGCCTAAATTCGACGATTCGACCGCAGTGTCGTCGAAAATGAAGCAAGCCCAGATCAAATCTTGGAAAATGGTCTTCAAATTTTGGAATTAATTTGCGGGAGAAAGAAAAAAAATGCCCTGCAAGAGGGTTTGAAAATACTAAAAACAGGGTTTTTTCTTTCTTTTTTTTTTCAATGAGTTGAATGAGTATTGAGAGAACATGCACTCTAATTCTGAAAATATACGTGACATGAAGTATATAAGAGGGAGAATTAGCATAGAGTTATGTTAATATTTTTTATGGGGTAGTATATTATTATTAGTAGTATACAATTATATTTTTCTGAATCAGTAAAGATTATAATCACTAAATCAAGATTGTGCAGATATTAACCAGGGCTAAATTACCTGTAAATATCATCGTAATATATTTGGTCAACTTTGATAATATAATTTATTAGCCTCTGGAGGGTTGATATTGGATGATGATTAGACAATTAGAGTTTAATTAACATAATTTATGTATGAGGATTGCGGTTGAGGAGTGGTCAAGCTGTATTTCTATAATTATTGGTTAGAGGGAATGAAATGAAATGAAAACATTGCATGTCTAAACTTGCATGTTTTATGACTTGAAATTACTCAATTATATATTCCTTATATATTTGGAAGTTGATATATTACAAAATAAATTATATGCGTAAATAATGTATCTATATTCTATATGCTATGTATATATGGAAGTTGTAACACAATACGTAATTTATGCGCACACATGGAGGTTTTAATTTCAGGCAATCTTTAAAAAATATATAAAGAGCAGAGGTGGTGATGAAGACGTGCATTCCATGAATGTTTGTAGGTTTATGCCCATATATCAGATTTTTGTTTATTTAGAAAAATAAATAAATAAATAAATAAAAGAGAAGAAGTTGTTTTTGAGCTAACTAGATTTTGCTATTTTAGACCGCATAAGCAACACAATGCTAAGGGTATATTTTAGGGAAATTCCCATTGGTACACTCCAAGTTTTGACTTTTCTCAGCAGTACCACTTTTTTTTTTCCTTCCTGTTGACACACCCCAGATTTTGACTTACTAACAGCCGTGATTAAATAGTTAATCAAACGTTAATAACCTACTTACTAAATGTTAATAGCAGCTTAGGTTTTAAAAAACTGAAAAGACTAAAATGCCCCCATTTAAATCTTTCCCTCCAACTGCCATAATTAACCCCTTCCCCTTCCATTTATGTTGATTAGACTTCCATTGCATTCCATCCATCACTCTGCATTCAAATTTTTTTACTCGTTTGAATTGGCGAAGGGAAAAGCTAGGGTTTGCAAAGGATTTTCGTTAGTTTTGCTGAATTAAAAAGGGAATTCTTGCATAATTCAGGTATATTCTTACTACTTAACCTTTATTTCATGAATTGGGTCATTTGTTGATGTAATTTGATCCTCTGATTTTCAATTTTGTGATTGAGGTGTTGTATATTTCTTCTATATTAGGTTAATTTAATCTTGGTTGCGAATTTGATGGCATGATCATGTTTGTTTGATTGTTGTATCCTAGTATGTTTGTTGTTAAAAGTGTCAAGATTATTGGTGCATGTTGTAAGTTTCTAGGTTTTTTCCTTATTTTGCAGAATGAGAGACAATGATGAGGTTGTGTTAAGGTTTAATTATCTGGGTAAACATATTGATATGGATGTGAACTTAGATACATGTAATTTGGTGGACTTGGTTATGGATTTTGAAGACACTGCTGTGACTATGGACAATGAATATTTTATCATCAACCCTACCTTTAATTATGCTTACAACCAAAAGCATAACCTTCTATTAGATGATGATGATTTGTTTAGGATGTTTTAGACCCTGCCTAAGTCTGATGTGTATGACATTTGGGTTGGGTTTGCCAAAAAACCAAGTCCTTTGAATAAAATGATCTTGAACTTAAGGAAGTCCAAACCTGCACCACCAACTGATGAACCATCCCAAACTGATCAACCATCTCAAACTGAAACACCCCAAACTAATCAACCCCCTCATACTGAAACACCCCAAACAGAACCATCACAAATTGAACACCCTCAAACTGAACCACTCTAAAAAGCTACTAAAATGATACCTAGCTAGGAGGACCATTGATCTTGAACTTCAGCCTTCCATAGAAGATATATCCCTAAATGATGAGTTTTTTGGTAATGAGTCATCTCTACCTAGGTATACTGATTATGATTCACCCCAAGATGATCCAAGTCATGAACAAACTGCTGCTGAGTATACCAAGGGTAGGATAGAGTTTGAGAAGACCATGGAGAGGATAGAAAAGTCAAGGAAGGCCCAATATAGAAAGGGTAAGAAGAGTGTTGGCACCAACCAAACCCAAATTGCACCAAAAGTTTTGTTGTCCGAAGTGACGAATCTGGAGATACAGAGAGAGATGGTGATTATAATCAGGCAGAAGATGAAGAAGACTCTGATGGAGAAGTTGCACCAAAAGGTGATGTGCCTGCAGATGAGTTAGTGCAGCAAAAAAGATTCCCAAAGTCAAGGTCAACTGGAAACCAGGGAAATGGTTTGAGTTTTTAGATGATGAAGATGATGATGATTACTTTAAGAGACTGTACAAGAATGGAGAGATGTATGAGGATGCTGATTTTGGTAAGATATCACTCAGACCATGGATGATTTTCACTAATAAGGCACACTTTAAGGATACTTTGAAGGATTATGCTGTGCAAGAAAGATTTGTAATTTATGTGGAGTATGCTGACAACAAAAGGTACATTGCAGTGTGCCAATCTGAGTGCTGTGACTGGAGGTTGCATGCAAGTAGACTTGCAGATGGCAAAACTTGGGCAATAAAGAAGATATGGCCCAATGTACACACTTGCAGGGGTTTAGAGACATACAACCCCATATGCAATAATGGGCATCTCAAAAAGTCATGGAAGACATTAGAGCTAACCCAAACATTCCTGGGAAGTCACTCAATGAACTACTATTCCAAAGATATGGCATCTACATAAGGCAATCAACCTTGTATAGGTTAAAGAGTTATGTAATTGAGCAGTTGTTTGGAGGCCATGATGAGTCATACAATCTATTGCTAATGTATGCTAAGATGTGCATAGAAACAAACCTTGAGAGTAAAGCTTTTTGTGCATGGAATGAAACTGAGTCCATCCCTAAATAGCTTCAATTTACTAGCATTTTCATTTCCTTCACTAGACAGTGGAAAGGTCTTCTAAGAGGTGTTAAACCTTTGATTGGTGTATATGGAACACACCTCAAAGGTAATTATGGGGGGATATTGCTCTCTGTTGTGGGAATATATGGAAATAATGAGATTTTCCCCATAGCATATGCTGTAGTCAGCCAAGAAGACAAGTAATCATGGACTTACTTCTTCTGGCATTTGCTGAACATTGTCAAAGATTCATCAAGGAAGTATTGGACCATTATTTCTAATAGGCAAAGGGCAAGTAACTACCCTTTGATTGTGTTTTCATTTCTTTTGTAATCTATATATATGACCGTACTAATGGTATATTCATTGTTTTAGGGAGTTGAACTAGCTTTAGAACAGGTCTGGCCAAAAGCTAACAGAAGGTTTTGTTGTAGGCATCTCGGTAGAAATTACAAGAAGAAGTTTCTAGGCCCTTTGATGTATGTTCTGTTTTGGAGAGCTTGCAATGCAACTTCAGCTTTCACATTCAGAAAAGCTATGGAGAAGCTGAAGAAAGAAGGAGGTGAAGATGTGATGGCTTGGTTTGAAGACTTGGGAGAACAATCCAAATGGAGTAAGCATAAATTTGACCCTAATGTTTGCAATGACTCCAATACATCAAATTTTGTGGAGAGCTTCAACTCTACACTTGAGTGAACAGGTGTAGACCTGTATTAACTTTGCTAGAAGGTATTAACTCTACACTTGCTTTGTTATCATTATGATGTGAAAATGTTGTGGTTATATGTCTAATTTGGACAATTGCAGGAATAAGGAGGGTTTGTATGGTGAGAATTGCAACAAGGCTTGAGAATGCAAAGTCTTGGAAAGATGAAGACATTTGTCCCAAAATTGTGAAGCTTGTGAAAGAGATAGGTAAGGCTAGTTCAAACTGTAGAGCTTTCAAATCCAGCCCAGGAGAGTATGAAATACATGAGGGAAGATCTCAGTTTCCTCTGAGCCTAAACAAGAAGATCTGTTCATGTGGGGCATGGAAACTAACAGGTTTGCCATGTAGGCATGCCATTAGGGCCTTGATTGATGCAAAGTTAGACCCACATGACTTTGTTAGTTCCTGGTACTCTGTGAAGACATATAAGCAAGCTTATAGTGTTTGCATTAACCCAATCCCTAACACAGAGTAATGGCCTACAGATGAGTCAGGCAGAATCATCATGCCTCCCAAGATGAAGAGAGGAATTAGAAGACCAAGTAGGAATAGAAAGAGGGAAGAAGGAGAAGAGCAACCGGGCAAAAGATCAAGAAGAGTGAAATGCAGCAAGTGTGGTTGCTTTGGGCAAAATAAGGCAACTTGCAAGGGAGGCTTAACTGGCAAAGAGTTGAAGTCATCTGAGCCTGTTGTCATCCAGAATCCTAGGGTCAGAGACCAATCTAATGCAGCAAAGGCAGCTAAGGAGCAACTAAGTCTGCATCAACTAAGCAAGCAACATCTAAGTCTGCAGCAACTAAGCAAGCAGCATCTAAGTCTGCAGCATCTTCCAAGAAAGCATAGGGAAAGAAAGGCAGACCCTCAACTGAAGCTGCAACAGTATTGACAGCTTCACAAATGCCTAGCCAACCAGTAAACATGTCTCAAGCAAACTCAAATTCTCCAAGCTTCTAAGTGTTTGACGGTAGTAGATTAGAAATAAGTTTTTGTAGACACTTGATTGTGTCTCCTCAAAAACCAAACCCAGTGATGAGTACCTTTCACGTCATTGATTATCGAGCAGGGTGAAATGTTGAAGAGTCTAGTGAATTTCCCTTTTTCTAAAATGTTTTCTAAAAATGTTTTAATTCAAAATAATTCATTTCGTATTTCCAAAAATCATTTATTTTGTGTCCTGTTTATGAAAAACGTCCAAACCAGTTTATTTTGGTCCATAATTTGGGTCCAATAATTGTGTAGTTGGATGGGGATTGAAAATAGCTTTCCAACGATATATTATAAGCCCAATTTCGAGTTATAACAAGGAAGTTATGGCCAAAATACTAAACTGGGTCTAAAATGAGCGGACCCAATGATCATGTGGAGGGTCCATTAATATTAATTATATTTCTAAAACCATAAGGATTTATCTTAAGCTTCTAGAATTATCTAGAAGGTTGTTTTAAGTTCTAAAGGCATCAGGACTGATTATTGGCTACTAGAATCTTAGAAGGTTATAATTTATCCTATTTTTGAAAAGATAACGATTAAGAATTATTTCGGATAAAACAAGTGTTTTTAATTGATTTAATTCTGATTTAATAAGGATAAGTACGGATATTCGACTAACCCAATTTGATTGGAAGTCGGATTCCGTACGAATCTTATCTTTTGAAAATCATCGCGCAGCGATGGGAGTATCGTGACGCGATGAAGCCATCGTCCCCGCGATGAAACCTGCTTTATTCCGAGTCGGATTCTGACTCTTTTTCTGATCTTTTCAGTCGTTTTTCTCTATAAATAGGGGTCGATTTCCTCCGTTTTCATTCACCAACAATCATCATCTCTTCTTTCTCTAAGCTAAAACTTATTCTTTCTCACTCTCTTTCTTAGCCTAGCCTAAATAAACACACACTATACGTCCTTTGCGAGACCCTAATACACCTAGCCAAGCTCGAAGTTGCCTTCGACCTCGATGTGAAAGGTTGATAGTTTTGAGAGTTTGGTTCCTAATCTATATTTCAATTCCTATTTGATTTATTTGTTGGATTTATTTCTATCTTGAAGTTACGAACGTGTATTATTTTGATAGAAAGAGATACGAGGCATCAAAGTGAGTAGATATACTATCTTTATTGCTTGCTTTTGATATAGAAACCATGCTTAGAATATTATTTTAATTCCTAGTATCATATTAGGATGTTGATTTTGATTTCTAGTATCATGTTAGGGTGATATTTTAATATTTCTAATATCATGCTTTCTAGTATCATGTTTAGGATTAAAGCTTTGATCTTTATTATTAGTGACATCACTAGGCAAAAACACGTAATCCGCACCGGTTCAAACCCCCCATTTAGCACCGGTTTTGAACCGGTCCTTATTTGGGGGGTGCTAAATCCCCATACATTTCGCACCGGTTCTAGTTGAGAACCGGTGCGAAAAACCACACTTTTTGCACCGGTTTTGACTTGAAACCGTTGCCAAAAGTCCCAAAAAAAATTTTAAAAAACTTTTAGCACCGGTTCTTTTCCAAAACCGGTGCCAAAAAAGCCCAAAAAAAATAAATTTTTTTTTTTTCCGCATTTTTTCACTTAAATTGCTATATAAACACTAACATATATATAAAGTTACAAAAATTTACTTCTAACACTCCAAAAACCTGTTCTAATTAAGCATATAAACAGCAAACATCAAACTATGCAGCCCAAACTAAGCAGCTCAACGGGCTACAAAAATAACAAAACACAGCGCAACACCAAAGTAGCACAGCAAGCACATCAACTCAGCATCACAGCACCCTAGAAACCAGCAACATAGCACTGCAAAAGGAAGTAGACAGCAACATTAACACAGCAGCGCATCACATCAACACAGGAAAACTCGACATCACAGCATAGCAGACACAACACTGTAGCAGAAACAGCAGCTCACAGCATCACAAACAGGAAAACCAACCCTGCAGTAATCAAGATAAAAGAACCAGCATCTAATAGCTGAACAGGACAACCAGCTGAGCAGACACAGCCTCACAGCTAACATCAACAGAACAAAAACAGCTACACAGGAGCATTGATCTTCAGCTGATACAACCATTTGCAATGATCCCTCTTCCACGAATTATCAATAAGCTGTTGTACCCTACTTATCACTTCAATACAGATAGCATTACAGAGCTTCACAGGATGAATAACAGCCCTTTCCCAGAAAGCATGATTTCTTGCAAACAAAATATGATACACACAAGCAGTCAAGGCAGCTAAGGCAGTACTTTTCTAAATCAACACTGAACTATGTCTCTTCCAATGCTTCCAGGATCTGTCAAGTCTAAAATACCTCTCATTGATGCCTAGCCATGAACCAACAGCCTTAATACAAAATCTACTATAAGAACAATAAAAAAATAAATGCTCATGAGTCTCATTTGCCTCACCACAAAGCAGACAGCTTGCATCCTCACAGCATCCCAGAGAAACAAGCCTATCACTTGTTCTAAGCCTTCCTTGAACAGCCAGCCAAGAGATGAAAGAGTGTGCTTTTAACAGAGAAACAATCCTTACCTGCATTTCGACATCAACGATCGTTTTAGCTATTAACAATCAACAGACACAGCCTTTAACTCTAAACAATTCAAGATTGCTCATTCAAATACGAACAGAGGGAATAGAACAATTATAAAAAAGATAATGTTCCCTAACTGTTTCCTTTATATCATCTGATATGATTAATCTGAATGTGGTCAACTAAAAGCATTCCACAGCAAACCATTATTGTGATATTCTACTTGTATAATACATTGATCAAATGTGTGAAGCTAAATCTAAGAAAGTTGACACTAACTGGACTATTTATATCACGAACTTTCTTCTAGGGTAGGTAAGGAATTGCACTCCCTACATCTTTGAGTGCCATTTACATCCAGCAAAATTCTGTTATTTCTAATAAACTGTTGCTTTTAAACTAAAACTTTGATTTTAACCAAGTTTTTATTTTTATATTTTAAACCATTTATACTTCATATGCTAGCACTAATATATATACATGTAAATAGATATAGAAGTAGATATCTAATACCTGCATCTTAAGGTAGTTATCACATTAGGTCGTATAAATCATCTCATCAATGTGATAATAAAATCCAAAATGAAATAGTAGCTCTTATTATTAGGCTGAAATGTTCTCTGGTGGTTACTTGTCATATCTTAGTATGGGACCTCCTAAAGCACATCAATTGTGATAACAGGATTAAATTAAAGTATGAAGCCACCAAAGTAGACTTGCTCTATGCGCCATACCAAACTGCACTGTATAAGCAATAATTTGATCTAATAAGTGAAACAAGTAGCAATTCAAAGAATTTGAAAGAGAAGGAAAAAAGGAAAGTAATAGTCACCCATGTACCAAAGAAACTTGGCCACCAAATAAAATCCATAGTTCCCTTTAACTTTCGTTTTCTTTTTTCACACGAGGGGAGGGTTGTCTAATAGAGGCTTATTAGCAAATGATCAAGTGAAGTACCCTGAAACGATTAAAACTAAGCTAGCAAGCATCCACACTAAGCACAATAATTGACGTGTTAAAGTTCTACCAGACAAAAAATATCATTTACTTTGACTTTGTTCCCTTTCAATTGTAAAACTAGCAATCATTAACCTACGCAAATGCATGGGTCATGAATCATTTACTTCCCTTGATAACATAGGGCAGACTCAATTGACTCATAAGGCAGAAAAAAAAAAAGCCTTGCTCCTGAATACAACCAATTTTTCATACTTCACAAAACATACAGTATTTTTATATTTTCAAGCAATAGATAATACTACTTTCAAGCAATGGCTAAGCCTTTTACCTGCAACTTTATTTTCCTTCTTTACATCACTGATCTTCTTACCAATAGTACCCATGGCTGCACAAAGAAGTAGCACTATAACCATTGACGAATCTCTCTCAGCCACCATCAATGACTCTCCGTGGCTTTCACCTTCGGGTGATTTTGCATTCGGCTTTCATCAATTACCCAACAACAGCAGTCTCTTCTTGCTTGCCATTTGGTATGCAAAGATTCCCGACACAATAGTCTGGTATGCAAATGATGGTAACCCTGTTCAGGAAGGATCAAAAGTAACATTAACAGCTAAAACAATGCAGATGTCAAACCCCTTTTGAACACTTAGCAAAACCTAAAGCCTGCAATTGACATTTCAGAGCAAGTACACATGTCACCTACTCATTCCCATGCAATATTCTGTTTTCTAAACATGTAATTATAATATTGAGATATGATAATATTTACCAGCCTCATATTCTATTTCCTTTCAAACCATGATACACTCTAGTATTTCATATGAAAGAGACAAAGTTATATAAGCAACAACTCTTTATCAGCTTCATTTAACAAATATTGACACTCAAATCCAATGCTTGAAAAAATTGACTAATGCATACAAATTTTAATCAGTATGAATATAGTGAAACTCAACTTGTTCATAGGCCAATTATAATGAATTAAACTGATTATTTATCAAAACAAACTCAGATTCATAGCAAAGTTATTGAATAAAAAAAGAAAAAGAAAAAAAGAAACAGTGAACCCAAAATAACGAGTCAAGTTCCAAAATCAAAGAACCCACAATACACAATCTACAGATTCTACACATCCAAGGTTAGCAAAAACATTATTTGAAATTGGGGAAAAAAATTGAGCAAAAAAATGCAGATTAAAAATAATAAATCAAAAACACAATGTAATACCACAAATTTCAACTAAATCTATAACACAATCAACAAAAAATACAGCATAAAAGAATATAAAGATGAATTAAGCGAAAAAGAGAAGAAACTTACTTGTAATTGGGGAAAAAATTGAGCGAAAGAGAGATTTATATTAGGGTTTTGTAAGCTTTAACAGGAAAAAAAAAAAAAAAAAAAAACCTTTGAAGCGCCGGTACCGGAAGCCGTTAAAGGTGACGGTGTCTTGGTCGGAAGCGTTGCAGGTGACATTATCGCCGGTCTAACTGTCTCTCTAACCGTTCACCACTTGCTTTAACTCGAACAAGATTCGAACGAAAACCTCACACGATAGATGAGAGCAGAACGAGATGGGAACGATAGAGGAAGGAGAGATGAGAGCAGAACGAAAGATGAGAGAGAATGAGAGATGAGAGCAGAACGAGAGATGAGAGAGAGCGAGAGCAGGGCAGAACCAGAGATGAGAGAGGAAAGCAGAACCAGAGAGGGAGAGAATGAAATAGAGAGGCGGATTAGAGAGAGGTAACAACCCGGTTTTAAATTTCGCACCGGTTTGAACCGGTGCGAGAACAGTATTTAGCACCGGTTTGATCTGAAACGGTGCGAAATCCCTTCCACCTTTTTTTTTAATATTTCGTAATTCGCATCGGTTTGAACTGGTGCGAAAAAGATGATTTCGCACCGGTTTATAGGAACTGGTGCGAAAAGTATTTTCCCTAATCCCGCCCATTTCTTTTCCCACCGGTTTTCAAAAACCGGTGCGAAAAGTGCGCTGCATAATTCATTTTTTCTACTAGTGGTCCTTCAATTACAGTGTTAAGTCCTTGGAGCATTTAATACATCAAAAACTTGCTACGAAAATAATCTGTCAAAATAAATACGATTTGCTACAATTCAAAAAACTAGCCCTATATTTGGTCTTCCATCATTCTGATTTTTTTTTCAGGACACTACGAGAATGATGGAAGATCATTCCTTTTGTAACGAAAAGATTCATCATTTTTGCATTACAAAAGGAATGATCTTCCATCATTCTTGTAGTGTTCTGGAACATTAAAAAAAAAAAAAAATTGTCAGTCTTCAAGGACATGATTCAAGTCTTCAAGATCAGCCATATTTTCCCTTCAAATAAATATCTACAATCAGGCAACAAACCAATTTCAAACACCCAACACAATACCCCTATTTCACACCAAAATTAACACTAACCAATAAAACCTAGAGTCTGTGTTCGTCATTCCCTTCCAATTCATACAAAAAACAATTCGAATAACACCATACATACAAAACCAATATTTTCATGAACAACAAAAACAAATTATCAAAAAAGCGCAATTGATAATCATTATCATCAAAAACCTTAACGCTAACTAAATCCGCAATAATAAAAAAAAATAACATATTGTTTCATTTATATTGATATAATTTACAGATTTAAAATTTGTGTTTACAATATGTTCTGTCCATTTTAACTATTTATATTAGGCATAAGTGATATAATTGATTGAAACTACCCATTGAGAAACGTTGTAACTAATATAAATCACATTATTAACAATTTAGCACGGGCACACACTTTAATATTTTTAAAAATAAAAAACTCAAGCATGATTTTATTGGAAAACAAAGCACTAAGTAAGGAAAAAAAAATACACGGATTAAGAAAAAAGAAAAGAAAAAAAAAAAAACCAAACAAATACATAGATCCAGAAAAAAGAAAAAGAAAAAGAAAAAAAAAGAAAAAGAAAAAAAAAATTCTTTCAAAAAAAGAAAAAGAAAAAAAAAAAAAAAAAGAAGAAATTGATAGGCAAGGACTGCGACTATAATTTCGATCCTGATGCCAATGGGTGCTGCCTCCTCCAATCCAGTCCGTAGGTTTGTTCTATATTTCTAATTTAATTCTATTTATTTATTAGTTATGATCTATGTATCAAAGAGATCATGTTATGGTTTTAATTTTGATCGAATTTTAAATCTGGGTTTACTTTTTCTTCTGTGTTTGGTTTATTGTTAATTTAGGGTTTGCCTTGATTGAATTCTCTTGAATAAAAATTTAATGGTTGGTTTTTGGAAGTAAAGGCGAAAACTTGATCATCTGATTCTAAAGACTTGTTTTTTATTGCTAAAGTTTGGATTTTATGAAATAATTCAAACTGTTCCAATTGCGATTGTTATTTTGTTTCTACTTTGTTTGCAATTTGTTTTTCATTGTTTTGGTAATCCGTAATATAAAATTCCCCTATTTACCCAAAAAAACAATATTGATTATTTTCTGATATATTTTTCCTCCTTCAGGTGTAAGTTATTAGACTTGGAGGAGCGTTGGCCCATTAAACGACTTAAAAAAGGGGATTCTGCTCATGGTAATGGTATACTGTTAGAAGACAGAATCAGCAGTTTACCTGATGCTCTACTAGGAGACATACTCTCATTCCTTCCTACTAAGGATGCTGTTGTTACCAGTGTATTGTCTAGGCGATGGAGGCGTGTTTTCACCTACATCTCTTTGTGTGGACCGTCCTTGTCTGCCTGATTCTTTCCCCAATTTCAAGAGATTTGTTGATAACTTATTGCAACTGTGTCACTCTCACAACATTACCACTTTTAGACTTCACTTTGGCAGGGATGATCTAAGCCCTTACAAATTTGGAAGGTGTAAACAAGGTTGTTTACCTCAGTTAAACCCTATGCATCTTAATACTTGGATGTGTTTTCCATTAACCCGTGGGGTTAAAGAACTTGACATTCGTGCTTGCGTTAGGGAACCCGGTAAGCTGCCTTCGGCCCTCTTTGGTTGTCCGACACTCGAGGTGTTAAAGATCAATGTGAATCTTCATCTTGAAGTTCCTCTGTCTTTCTGTTTGCCAAACTTGAAAGAGTTCAATCTCACTTTACCCGTCATTCCTGATGGTGACTTCGCGACTAGGCTAGTTTCAAGCTGTCCATCCCTTGAACACTTTACTCTGAATGGTTACTGGAATCCTTTGAATCCCATTATGATATCTTCACCATCACTTCGTAGATTATCTGTAATTACTCGTACTTTTGGGAGTAGTTACCTAAGGACCGAGGTTGTACTTGATGTTACTAATGTGGAGTATCTAATGTATGACGATGTTTCTGCATCTCACTACTACATTGGAAATCTGAATGCTCTTGTGGAAGCTGAAATCAACCAAAGTGTTCCTGAGGGTACGCTTAACCTTCTTTGGCGGCTGTCTAATGTTCGTCGTTTGTTTCTGATGGAATCATGTGTAGTGGTTTGTCCTTTGATCACCTTCAACCTTTTGTTTGTGCTTCAGAAATACTACTGTACTTTATCAATAGAGTTGACTGATTTGCTCTTTTTTGATCTAGGCTCTGCATCTTTGTGAATCAGAGCAGCTTAAGCTGCCTGTCTTTCGTAATCTGAATCATTTGAAGCTTGGTTGTTCTGCCTTTATTAGTTGGTATACATTGTTGATGGAGCTGCTTAATTGTGCGCCTTTTCTAGAAACACTTAGTTTACCGAAGGTTAGTGTGATGTCTTCTATTCCAGATAATTTAAAGTGACTTTTTAACTATTCCTGTGAATGTTGTTGATATACGACTTTATTCTCTTATATTTTCAGGGAATCGTATTTGATGATGATGAGGAGGATGAACATTATATGGAGATGTCTGGGCAAGAGTGTAAGTCTTGGAGTTGTACTCCCATAATCCCATCTTGTCTGGCGAGTAATCTCAAAAGAATCTCAGTACACGATTACAAGCTGACAGAATGGGAACTGGAAGTGGTTAAATATTTTCTGAGAAGCTCATTAGTTTTGGAGGAATTGGATGTAGCTTTGGATTGTTCAAAGTCAGAGACTGAAAGGACATCGCTCAACGAGACATTACAGAAGCTACCAAGAGCCTCAAAGACTTGTTCAATAAAAGTCAGACATTACAGAAGCTACCAAGAGCCTCAAAGACTTGTTCAATAAAAGTCCGTAGAGGGGACTGATTGTATGGGCACTCTGTAGTAGGTTGAATAACCAATTTGGCAGTGCCTCGTACGTTTCTCCGTGTGTTCTGTACTAAGTTATAAAGACATGACTGATAGTAGAGGTGGGCAACGTGCCGTGCCTGCATCATGGCGTGTCGTGCCATGCCGGGCCACCATTTAGCACACCCCAGCCCATAGCACGACCAACATGCCTGGCATGTCGTGCCGGGCACCGGGCCGCTTGTAATTTTTTTTGAACAACTTTTAAAATGGATATACTATTTAAATAATTTTATTAATTTATATTTATGTTTTTTATATTATTATATTATTATTGTTCTTTTTATTATTATTATTATTATTAGGAAAAATTGTAAGGAAGGTCCTTTAAAAAAAAAAGTGGCACAGAAGGTCCTTTTATGGTGTTTTGGTTGTGAGGAGGGTCCTTTAATCAAACTCCGGCGTTGACCTTATATTCCGGCCATAAAATGTCACATGCCGGTCACGTGACCTCTTAAATGAATTTTTGTTTTTTCTTTTTTTCCCTTTCCCTCTTCTTCCTCGATTTCCCCTTTCCCCTACAATTTCCCTCCCTTATTAACCCTAATTTGAGAAGAAAACTTCAATTCTTAACCCAGAAACTACAATTGAAGGCCAATTGAAGGCATCTAACGTGAGTCGAACAAGGGTAAGGTGGCAATCCCACATCAATTTCAAGTTTACTTTTGCAAATTGAAATTTTTCTTTGTTTGTTGTTCACTGTAGTTGCGCAATTAATGAAGAGGTGTAATTGCGGTCTGCCTGTTGTCAAAAGAACATCGTGGACCCATGAAAACCCAGGAAGAAGATTTTGGTGTTGCAAGTTCTTCGATTTTGAAACAATGCAGAGTGGTTGTGATTATTTCAAATGGGTTGACACTAACATGGTTGATTGGCAGAAGGATGTGATAAATATGTTTTTGGCTTTGAAACACAAGATGACCACTGACCAAAATGTCCTAAAGGCAAGAGTGACATGTTTGGAGCATGAGAACAGAATACTGATTGAGTAAGTTCAGCAAATGCCTAGACATCCAATTGCAAACAGGGTCGGTGATGGTGTGATTAGTAATGATCAGTTGTTCATCTAGCTAGTGTTGTGAGCAATTGTATCAGTGTTGGTTAGTATATTAGTTGTGAAACTGTTTGATTAAAGGTTGTATTAGTTGTTTAGGCATGTTGTTCTTAGTTGGAAATTTGTAATGAACCAATTTGGTTGTTCTTAGTTGGAAATTTGTAATGAACCATATTATTATCAATGAGAAATGAAATGAACACATATTTGGAACTAAAATGCTTCAATATTCTTGTTTAATTCATTCCAGAGCATTCAAAATACAACACATAAGTTCCAAAAGGCTACCCAAGTTCCAAAATGTTGTTAAACATGTCCATACATAAACATAAAAGTCACATACACATAAGTGACATACAAAACATGAAAGCTAATTTAAGCTAGCACAACTAAGACTTAGAAGCTGATCCCTGCAGTATCCTACTCATTGAGGTGGTCTTCTGCTTCCTGAGCTTAGCAGCAGGGACCTTTTCTTTGCCCTTTGCTTGACTTGATGCAGCTGGAGTACCTGTTGGCTGGGAAGGCTGTGTTGATGCCTGAGACAGAGGTGGACCTTAAGGCAGTTGTTTCGGGGTTTTCTGATGTCCTGCGGGAGAGTTACAATTCCGAGACTGGAACCGGACGCCTGTACCTGCAAAACAACGGAGACTCCTTGTGGTGGGAGCTCCGCCTCCGACGGTCAAGTTAGTACTTGATTAAGGAGTAATTAATGCGGAAATTAAAGTGATTGGGTCTCTCTAGGTGAGAGTGTTTAATGGGTGTAATCTGCGTTTTTAGCGTGTTCTCTCCCTTAATGAGGATTAAGGGAGGTATTTATAACCTCGGGAAACGTGTCAATCTAGGTTTAGGTTAACCTTGGGCTGATTGGGCTTCCCTCGGGAGTTGGGCCTAGGTGACCGGTTATCCTAGGTGTCATGGGAAGGACACGTGTCGTGTCGTAATTGGTCCATGGTGGACGGATCATTGCTTGACACGTGGCAGGCTCCTATTGGCCCATGTGACGGACACATGGCGGAACCTGATTGGTCCACTTGTCAGATGGTGATTGGTGGGGAAAAATCCCCTAATCATTTGCCCCTCACAGGTGGCACGTGACTGGTCACGTGTTACCTGTGACAGGTATCGCCCTGTAACAGGCGACGACCTGCTACAGGTGTCACTCGGCGAGAGGCCGAGAGATTCTCCCGCCAAAATTCTGAATTCTGGAAGTGACCCTTCGCCTTCTCACTTCGCCTATTTAAAGGAGTGTTGACTTCGGTCATTTTCACACTTGAAAACTTTGTGAGAGAACATTCGGACCCCTGAACTTGCTCTGACATTTTGGACCCTTTCTGCCTACCGCCTGCTCTGACAAGCCGACTGCAAAGAATTTTCAGAACTTCATCAATCGTCACTCGTTCAGGTAACCGCCGGTTCTCTTACTCTTAATTTTCTCTTTACTTTATTCTTTTTTGAAATGACACCACGGAAGCACACGACACGACCTAGTTTAGTGATCAGCCGGTCACCGGGGACGGCTGAATCTAGGACTAGGAGTGCCGCCTGCCCTTTTCTGGACCCATCTTTGCCCTTTATACAAAGTCCGACTGTATCTGTGTCTATGCAGAGCATGATGGCCAGAACAAAAAAGACTGCTAGGATCTCAAACTCAGACGGCTCCTCCCACAGGGTGCCGATTAGTGAAACATCTGACCAGGCGCCAGATGTGGAAGTGAAACAAAGCGGCTTGAAAGCCGGCAGTTCTGAGGGAGGAGTCAAACTGACCCCTTCCCATTTTACAGTTGACAATTCTACATTCTCTCCTGCTCCTTTTAAAGGAGAGGAGGCGGGCCCCTCCGGGAGAGGGGAGGAGTCGTCCTCTTCGGACTCGTCAGAGGACGATTCTGAGTCTAGCTCTTCTGGCCATGCTTCTCTGGACACAGAAGAGAAAAACAGTCGCCTGCAAGAGGAGAGGCTTTCTCACGCAGTTGAGAAGGGAGACGATTGGGCGGAGCCATCCGCCTCTCACCGAGAGCAAAATACCCCCTACTACTGCACGGTACCTCGGGGCCGGATCACAGCCATGCAAGAGAAAGTGGAGAGCTTTATCGCAAACCACACAATGGGCCCCGACTTTTTAGTGTTTGTGCCGGATCCAGAAGACACAGTCGTCTGGCCGGCTGGTACCAGTTATGATAGCGCCTGCTTTGGCTGCTACGAGGCGGCCATCAAGGCTGGGCTGCGCTTCCCACTACATCCAGCTGTTCAGCGGATCTTGGATGGGTATGAGTTGGGGTTATGGCAGTTAGCCCCAAACTCCTGGGTCAACGTACTCGGCTATGTGGCCGGGTGCGAACTGCACGGGGTGGAGCCGAGCTTCGAGGCTTTCGCCCACATGAACTACCTCAGCCGGACCCCTAAGGCAGGCGGTACCGGCTGGTATCAATTGACGAGCCACAGGGGCTACCTCATGACGAGAGGTAAAGCAAACAAATGGAAGGACTGGCGGAGCACCTTCCTCATCATTGAGAGTTCAGACACAGAGCTGAACAAGCGCTTCAACAGGTGGAACAGGAATCCGCCCCTTCTTGCAGGCGGCCGCAGTATGCCGCCTGTTCCCTCCAAGGCTAAGAAAGAGATCCTAGATAAAGGACTCTTCAAAGTAGAGTCGAAGGTGAACTCTACTTCAGGGATACGAGAGCAAATACCCCTGCACTGCGTCCCGAGCTTCAAATGGCTCTACGACGAGTACTTTTTGGCCGCCTGTGGCCTCAACAGTCGGTGCTCAAGAGGTAGCCGGCCTGTCGAATACTCTGTTGTTCCGTGCATTTCTTGTTATGACTTTTATTAACTTTGCTATTTGTTTTTGCAGCGGACGCCATGAGCAAAATTACCGCCTCCAAGACTGCGGCGGCCATGTTGCGGGCCTCCATCATGCAACAGTCTTCAACCGACTCCCCCAACAAGGGGGCACCCTTGGTGGGCTTCGAACCTTTCACCCTCTTTTTGGAGTTGTGTTTATGCATATACTGACTCTTTTCTTCTTTTTTAGACGGGCGCTCCAAGAGCTTCTTCTTCCCAACAGCCGGACCCCAAGGCCCGGAGGACGATTGTTGCGAGCTCTCCTGGTTCTGCCAGGAAACATGCGGCGGCTGAGAAACAGCCGACCACTTCTTCTAAAACTCCAGCTGGGCCACCTAGAAGTATGAAATTATCCTTGTAAATTTTAGACTTGCTCCCTTCTTTACTAGGTCTAATCCGTTTGTTTATGCTTGATGCAGCCGGCCCTCAGGAGCCTGACTTGGTCGAGGTGGCCAAGTCTATGATCAAGGTCGTTCCTCCAGCTGAAAGGGAGGCGGTCAGGGGTGTCGGAACCCTTGACCTAGACGGGATTGCAGGGGTCCTTGCTGAGGTATACTTAGCTTATTTTTGAGTATTTGAATTCCAGGACGCCTGTTTTCTTTTTTGTTTGGAAACTGACGCCTGTTCCCCTTTTTACTTAGGCCCTGCTCCGAGTGATCGGCCTTCGCAAGCCGCTTGACCGGAAGAACAAAGAGGTAAAGGCTGCAAAAGCTATGGCCGCCTCTGACTGTGATAAGGCAATGTTTCAAATTGCCCAAAATGAAGTTCTGACCATTGATATTCTTTATTATCAGGCGCAGGCTACCGCCGCTATCCGGGCTCAGTTAGAGGCGGCCCAGAAGAGGAATAGCGAGCTGGAGGCGACCATCAACAACCTCAAGGCCGAGCTGAGACCTCTTCGCCAAAAGATGTCCTCATACGAAACCTTGGAGAAATCCTTGGCGAGCGTAAAGGAACGCCTGGTGTCCCAGGAGAAGAGTCTTACTCAGGAGCTCTTGGAAAAGGCCGAGCAAGAAAAGAAAGAGCTGGTCCGGGAGATGATGGAAGACTCTGCTCAAATCCAGCGCATGACTTGGGGCCGCCTCTTCCCCAATGCCGACTTTTCCTCATGGGAAAAAAACGTACCGCCAGTGTTCTGATAGATATAATCAAGAGATCCTGGCGGCTGCTGAGGAAGAGGCGTTGGAGGAGGAGGAGCAGCCGGTAGTGGCGCTTGTGCCGCTTGGGGGTAATGCATCAAAGAAGGATGCAGCTGAAGCCGAGTCCAGCAAGAAGAGTGCTGACCAGGCGGCAGCTGCTGATATTGAAGATCTGCCCCCTTCTTAAGCTTTATGT